ATGGAGTGCTATATCTTTACTTCATACCAATGCTTTTAAACATATTTTCAGGTGAGCGATACAGGCCATCTGGGCCTCTTGTTACCTTTTAATCTATGGTGTATGTTAATACATATTAAACCAATAAAAATATAAAAGTTTGATAAATATTTGAGCAATCAAAAAAGCTATAAATTGGCAGTTAGGACGCGGGTAGCGGAAGGGCTTTAAGAGAGGGATGTATAAGTTACTAAGCTAATAATATATATATCTATAAATTCGATTATTATAATAATACGGTCGCTGGCCATATCGTATCAGGATGTCTTATATGGCGTGTGTGCAGGAGGAGGGCATGTCTACCATAACCATGCTGTCCTATAACCCTAGCATATTCTATTTGTGTTTTGTTTGGGTTTTATATTTTGGAAGTCCGACGAATCATCTTAGAAAATATAGCTAACCTTTCCCTATCCTCTGTGCCGGCGTTAACGCGCTTACTCTTGCGACAATACACAGAGGGATCTTTTACGTGCAGGTTGGACCCTCCCACACGGGACACCATTTATAGTCCCCTCCGCCGGACTGGATGTTAGTGTTTAGTGGTTAGGTGTCATGCAAGCGGTGCAAGTGCTAATTAGCCTTGATTTTTGGTGTTCCTTCTTGAAACCCGAATCCAGTTGTTGCACACTATGGAAAACTTTCCTTCAATACAAATCTTCTCGTTCTTAAAAAACCTTTCCTTGTCTTTCATCTGAAACTGTTCTCTGTTCTGACATTTTATAAATATGTTTGTGAGTATAATAAATTGGTTGGGGGTTGTGGTTGGCAGGTTGTGCATTGGATTTTTATATTGGGTTATATTAGTGCATGGATAGGTATAGGTATCGGGTCAGGATTTGATGAGGGAAGTATATGTGAGGGGGAGGGGTTGTGATTTGATACTGGGAGTATGTGAGTCTGGTTGATTAGAGATTGGTGAGAGTTATCAGTAGGCAGATGAGGGTTGGGTAGAGGGTGGGAGGGGGTCATAGGGTTTCGATTGAAATTATATTCTGCAAGTAATTAAATTTCATAAAATATGTTTTACTAGTTGTATTTGTTGCATACCCCTTTGGTGTTCACTTTACACAGTTAAGTAACCTCAGAGATGATAAAAGTGCCAGGCATGATAAATTTCTGGAAAAGAGACATGTATCATGTAACCTTAATTCTGGTTCAACTATTTTGGGGGGGAGCATACCATCCATCAGTTTTAGTGATTTTATTGTTTCTTTATATGGTAAAATATTCAAGTAATGATGGATATACAATACCCTACAGTAGAAGTGAACAATGTCTTAAGTGAACTATATTTTTTTGAATTCTTTTAAGAAAGCCTAGTAGGAATCATCATTTGTGGAAGAGGTTATGATATTGTAAATGTTAATTTGGCATTCGCTTCAGAAATTTTCTTCAGATTCAGATGTCCGAGAATCAACACTCTCTTTTGTGAATAAAAAGACGTTTAGGTGCTTTGTCTAAATTTTAATCCTGTGACTTTTGGTTATTCAGAAGAAGTTTTTGAACATATTTGATCCTTGTGACATTGAAAACAATTTAAGGTCATTTAATTGAACAAACGTGGTAGCCCTTCATTCTAGCATGCTACTGGCAACATATCATCATCCTGGGCCTTTTGGTTATTCAGAAGTTGTTAAAGATGATTTTTTTAAACAATTTGTGACCTTGTTTATAAGTGAAAGTCGTTCATTTGAACAAACTTGGTAGCCCTTCGCCACAACAGGATATTGGTCAAATATCATCACCCTGTGCATTTCTGATATTCATAAGTTCTATATTGACATATTTGACCCGTGTGACCTTGAATAAGGGTAAAGGTAATTCATTTGAACATAACCTGGTAGCCCTTCATCCGTGCATGCTACTGGCCAAATATCATTATCCTATGCCTCTTCGCTATTCAGAGGGTTCAGAAGAGTTGTTTAATGAAATACACCCCATGGAAATTACCAGTACAAAAGGTTTAACATAGTGTATTACAAATAATAATTACAGATCTATACAATTTAGTGCACCCAACGGGGTGATGAAGCTGTAAATAATTAAACGTTAACACCAATTCTAGTATAAACAGTCCAGCTCAACTAACCCCATAGAAATTACCAGTACAAAAAGTTAACATAGTGTATTACAAATAATAATTACAGATCTACACAATATAGTGCCCCCGACGGGGTGATGAAGCTGTAAATAATTAAACGTTAACACCAATTCTAGTATAAACAGTCCAGCTCAACTAACCCCATAGAAATTACCAGTACAAAAAGTTAACATAGTGTATTGCAAATAATAATTACAGATCTACACAATATAGCGCACCCGACGAGGTGATGAAGCTGTAAATTATTAAACGTTAACACTAATCCTAGTATAAACAGTCCAGCTCAACTAACCCCATGGAAATTACCAGTACAAAAAGTTAACATAGTGTATTGCAAATAATAATTACAGATCTACACAATATAGTGCACCCGACGGGGTGATGAACCTGTAAATAATTAATTGTTAACACTAATTCTAGTATAAACAGTCCAGCTCAACTAACCCCATGGAAATTACCAGTACAAAAAGTTAACATAGTGTATTACAAATAATAATTACAGATCTACACAATATAGTGCACCCGACGGGGTGATGAACCTGTAAATAATTAAAAGTTATTTACACTTATCTAACATTTAACACGACGGCCTTGCACGGTACTTGTCAGCTACTGTTTTCTGAACGTTTTCGACTTTTCTGACTTGGATCTTTTTCTTTGATTTGGTTTTTTCCCACAGGTTTGTTTTGGTTTCACACACTGGTAATTACTTCGAAATGCTTTTACAAAGTTGCTGTCAGTTACATTTTTTTTCTTTTTAAGAAATTTCCAAAATATTCTGTCTTTTTCCCCATTCGACTTGTTTACCCAAGAATCTGGAAGTACCAATGAAGATTTCATTTCCTCGGCCAATTGGAAATTTCCTGTACCATGCAAGGCACGCCGCAAATCTAATATCTGAATTTTGGAAACTAGTTCCAATTTGTTGACTAAATCAGGTAACTTATGTTGTTTCCAATCTGCTACTTGTTTAAGCCTATTATTTATCGATTCTGAATTGTTGTTTGTCCAAAGTTCTGAAATGAGTTTCTGTCTCAAGGATTTAATCACAAAAGTTTTCAGTTTTTGTTCTAAATACCTTTCCCAATAATTTCTAAATCTGTCATTTTCCTTGAAGAATGTTCTAAGTTAATCTACCCTTGCATTGTACTCTATGTCATCTTTACTGAAAACTATCCCATCGTGTGCAAAAATACTTTTGAGAATAAGTTGTCTTGTTTTAAATGATGTGCCTGATTTTTCTAAATATCTTTTAACATTTTCACGTAAGTGTTTGGTGCAGAGCAAAAAAGGTGAATTTTGAAAACCTGTGTGTAGTGCATTGGTCATGGCACGTTCCTCATCTGTTCCTATCACCAAATCATCAGTTCCTAACCTAGCCCTAACATGTGGAGAAAAAAAGAATGGTATGTTGTTATCTCCCCATCCCAGTGTAAAAACAATTGTCCTAACATGATTGGGTGTTCCCCTGTCTCCCCGTGTACTACCCCCTGGTTTTTATAGGTCATTGGTGTCACGAATCATTTTCCCAAATTGAACGTTCTGTCTATCCCTATCACGCTCCCACCTTCCCCAGTACAATTTGACTTCATATCTGCTACCTTTTCATCCGAATACACAATAATATTTGGAAGTTTGTGCTTCTCATGCTCGACTTTCTGAATATGAGGATTTGTATGCATTTCTGAAAGTATTTCTATAATTTCATCTGCGATATTGTTTTGCGCATTTTTGCCAGGGTTGTTTTTCCTCTTGTTATTGTAAATTTTGTTTCTAATTTGTTTCCCAGACCTGGGTCCCAAAACACTATTATCTTTTGATGCCAAGTTACATACCTCAGTTGCTGTTTTCGTCTGAGCTTGAGAAGCACAATCAATAAGAGGGTCTGTTCTTATATAAGGTTTATTCGATTTCGAATTCCCATGGGGTATGTTGAGCGGTTTGGGTTTTTCCCCGAACAAAGTCTGTAGGAGCCGCAACTACTGTTGTCACCCGTTTTCTATAATTTCCATGTTTTTACTTAGTATAATACCTGTGGAGTGTAACTGTTCTTGACGGCTGTGGTATGTAGGGCTCGTATACAATTGTTCCCTTCACTGTTTTTTTGTGTGCAAAACAACCCATCCCTTTTGTATATGCTGATCATTTTTATTTGATGCTGACAACATAAAATACTGGTTGGATGTTGTTCCCTTTGACGAGTCCCACGTACCACAATCATCAGGAAAATCACATGTTCTCCTGTTTATGTTCCGTTTGTTGTCGCAAACCAAATGCATATTGTCCTTGTTTCCCAGAGGAACACGTTGCGCCTTAGTGTTGACCAGTGCATCAAATGCTTGTTCATGGGTCATGAACTTGTTTGCATTTGGTGCACTTATCAACACACATGGTTCTGATGCAGGTGTTACTTTGGGTACAGACGGAACATCAACGACTACATAATCATCACTATTAACATCAATAAAAGAATCCGAGGTGTCAGGTGAGTTTGATGTGCGTCGTTTCTCTGATGGTACAACATAATATTTCGAACTATTCTCTGATTTCGAAACGTCGCCACCCTGAATTGGGCTGACAACTCTTTTCTTACGATTAATATATTTAGATTTTGGATCTGGTGTAGAGGCTAGAGATGGTGATGGCAAAGAAGCTGGAGATGAAAGTGGTGAGGCTAGGTCCGAGGAAAGAGGTGTGACATTGGGCGTCTTTGGATCTAGGGTAGAAGCTAGAGATAGTGATGGCAAATAAGCTTGAGATGAGAGTGGTGAGACTGGGGCCGAGGAAAGAGGTGTGACATTGGGCGTCGACAGTGGTGAGACATGTTGCGAGGAGAGAGGTGATACTGGAGGCGTATATGGGGCTGGTTCAACTGCACATGAAGCTGACGGCTGGGACTGGGCGAGAAGATGATGAGGCTGGTTCTTGGCGGGACGATGATGAGGCGGCTGGGCCTGGGCGGGAAAACGACGAGGCTGGTTCTGGGCGTTACGATGATGAGGCGGCTGGGACTGGACGAGAAGACGATGAGGCGGCTGGGACTGGGCGAGAAGACGACGAGGCTGGTTCTATGCGGGACGATGATGAGGCGGCTGGGAATGGACGAGAAGACGATGAGGCGGCTGGGACTGGACGAGAAGATGATGAGGCTGGTTCTGGGCGGGACGATGATGAGACGGCTGGGCCTGGGCGGGAAGACGATGAGGCTGGGCGGGTTGTTAAGGAGGCTTGGCGGGAAGATGATGTGCGAGAAGCTGGTCTTTTAACCAACGACTCATGGACTATCGGAACGAAATGGTTCGGTGTCCATGTCCCTGCTCTCGGAGCATTCATACTTGACCACAGCACGCGAATTGGTGTTGCTGAGTAGGTCTCTATTGGTAGAAAGGTAGTGTTTAGTTTGATGAAAGGTAGTGTGTGTGTACAGTTTACTGCATGACATAGTGTAGTGAGGGGGATTTGAATAACATTACTTAGGGCCATTATAGTCCACACACTTGAATAGGCGTTGCCAAATAATGCAGCACTAAGGCAAGCATCAGAATAGGTTGGTGAAAGACAGACGAAGCTCCGCCTTTGGGGATGGTTTACGACATGTCTGCGTCCGGTAATCATCTCTATGCAAGTTTTGTAGCGGAGTTCATTCGAAAGAGATTCGTTTCCGACCAGCAGGGTTGAAACCGCATTGAACAAACAATCTCCATTTCCCGTTGAACATTCAGACCTTGATTGATATGCCGTCGTCTTCGACTGCAGCAGTTTGTCCGCGACTGCATCTAGTTCGAGTTGGCCACTGATGTTAGGGGTCAAGTACGTCCTGATGTTATAAAGTAATAACGCTTCGCGCTTGGCAACCGATTCCAATCGTCCATACCCGATGTCTGTCGCCTGAGTGAAAATAATGTTCGTACATTATATCGTTGTCGACTTATGTGTATGTTTAATTTACACATACATATATCTATATGTAATTAACATTACAAATATCTATATTAATTAACACGGATAAGATATACTACTCTTTTTAATCTTTATAAATGATATTGTCAAAGACATCGATTGTACTATAAAGCTATTTGCTGACGATACGTCTCTATATGTCAAAGTGGAGTAACCGGGTCCGACCGCAAACCTGTTAAATAATAATCTAATGAAAATTCACGATTGGTCTAAAACTTGGCTTGTAAATTTTAATCCTAACAAAACTGTAACAATGACTGTTAGTAAGAAACTCGAAAAACCGATCCATCCCTCTCTGTATATGAACAACATTTCTTTAACTGAAGTCACTTGCCATAAACATCTCGGTATCTCTATCTCAGCCAATGGAAGTTGGAGTGACCATATTCAAAACATTATTAGTAAAGCCTCTAAAAAACTTAGCATAATTAGGAATCTAAAATTTATCATTGATAGAAAGTCTCTTCAAACGATATATTATACTTTTATAAGACCCTTATTAGAATATGGTGATATTGTATGGGACAACATAACTTAAGGTCAAAGCCAGTTGATTGAAAACATACCACTCGAAGCAGCCAAAATCGTGACTGGGGCAACCAAACTCACAAGTCACGACAGACTATATGCAGAATCTGGTTGGGACCCCCTTATTGTCCGAAGGAGAAAACACAAATTAATCCAATTTCATAAGATTGTTCATGGTCAGTGCCCTTCTTATCTTGCTAACGTTCTACCTGCTCGCCATTCAAATATACATACTTACAATACAAGAAGGGCTAACAACTTCTGTCAAGTCAACTGTCGAACTAATCTATACAAAGACTCTTTCCTCCCCTCTTCTGTTGATTGATGGAATGCACTACCAGATAACGTAAAATACAATCCCTCAATTACTAACCTCAAAAAAATTCTTAATGCCGACACTCTCTCTGTTCCTCAGCACTATTACTACTGCAGAAGCAGACAAGGTCAGATCCATCATGCACGACTTAGGATGAACTGCAGCTCCTTAAACACTCACCTGTTTGCACGAAATTTAGTTGATAGTCCCATGTGCTCATGTAATTTGTCTACTGAAACTACAGAACATTTCCTCCTCCAATGTCCTAACTACCAGCAGCTGAGAATCCAATGTTTTAGTCGCCTACCTCCTAACTATAATGTAAGCTTTTTACTTTATGGTAGACCCGAACTACCAATTAACTTAAATGAAATTATTTTTGACTGTGTTCAAAACTTCATCATTCAGTCTAGACGCTTTTAGAGAAACTTTAACTTCATTCATATCAGTAATCATGTTTGTTATGGTTTGTATTCATGCAATCAGCGTTTGTTCTCTCAATGCAGTTTTGATGCCCATCGCTTCCCCATCAAACATCATCCCCCATCCAACTATAAATCCTTGCACCCTTTCTCTTTCTTTTCCCTGCACATGTTATACTTTACATATATTTATATTTATTTAAATGAATTATAATATTGTCAGTACTGATCCATAGCTGCTGTTATGTCTATAAGGAGACGGATTTACATAAGTACTATGTACTTGTTTCTGGATCCTTTTCTGTATTTATAACCATGTACTATTGTAATTAAACATCAATAAAATAAAGTTTAAACTAATTAGCACGGATAAGATATACAAGTAATGATAAGGAAACCCTCTATATCAGGAGGTATAGCTAACTAACATCATAAATATCTATATTAATTAACACGGATAAGATATACAAGTAATGATAGGAACCCCTCTATATCAGAACGTATAGCTAAATAACATTATAAATATCTATATTAATTAACACGGATAAGATATACAACTAATGATAGGAACCCATCTATATCAGGACGTTTACATAATTAACATTATAAATATCTATATTAAATAACACGAATAAGATATACAACTAATGATAGGAACCCATCTATATCAGGAAGTATAGATAATTAACATTATAAATATCTATAAGTATTAAACATTTTAACAGATATCCACCTAATGATAAGGAACCCCTTCATATCAGGACGTATACAAAATTAACATTATAAATATCTATATTTATTAACACGGATAGATATACAATTAATAATAAGGAAACCCTCTATATCAGGACGTATAAATAATTAACATTATAAATATCTTTATTAATTAACACGGATAAGATATACAAGTAATGATAAGAAAACCTTCTATATCAGGACGTATAGTTAATTAACATTATAAATATCTTTGTTAATTAACACGGATAAGATATACAAGTTATGATAAGGAAACCCTCCATATCAGGACGTATAAATAATTAACATTTTAAATATCTATATGTAATTATTTACACGGATAAGATATACAAGTAGTGACAGGAACCCCTCTATATAATTAACATTAAATCTATGAGTATTAAACACGGATAAGATATACAACTAATGATAAGGAACCCCTTCATATCAGGACGTATAAATAATTAACATTTTAAATATCTATATGTAATTATTTACACGGATAAGATATACAAGTAGTGACAGGAACCCCTCTATATAATTAACATTAAATCTATGAGTATTAAACACGGATAAGATATACAACTAATGATAAGGAACCCCTCTATATCATGACGTATAAATAATTAACATTATAAATATCTTTGTTAATTAACACGGATAAGATATACAAGAAATGATAAGGAAACCCTCTATATCAGGAAGTATAAATAATTAACATTTTAAATATCTATATGTAATTATTTACACGGATAAGATATACAACTAATGATAAGGAACCCCTTCATATCAGGACGTATAAATAATTCACATCATAAATATCTTTATTAATTAACACGGATAAGATATACAAGTAATGATAAGGAAACCCTCTATATCAGAACGTATAGTTAATTAACATTATAAATATCTTTATTAATTAACACGGATAAGATATACAAGTTATGATAAGGAAACCCTCTATATCAGGACGTATTAATAATTAACATTATAAGTATCTGTATTAATATAAACTTTATTTCGTTTCAAATTAAGTTGCATTACATCACATAACATACAAAGTACAGAGGAATGGAATCCGGAAACAAGTTGAAATAACTTATATAAATCCGTTTCCGAGAATTTATCTCATTAATTTAAGGCATGATGGCATAGTTACTGAGTTCTAAGGAAAGAAATATAAAAACTTAAAACAGTAGCTTACTTTTAAACGTAGTTCAAGTATCTATATTAATTAACACGGATAAGATATACAAGTAATGATAGGAACCCCTCTATATCAGAACGTATAGTTAATTAACATTATGAATATCTATATTAATTAACACGGATAAGATATACAAGTAATGATAGGAACCCCTCTATATCAGAAAGTATAATTAATTAACATTATAAACATTTTAACAGATATACAAGTAATGATAAGGAACACCTCTATATCAGGACGTATAAATAATTAACATTTTAAATATCTATAAGTTTTATACACGGATAAGATATACAAGTAATGATAGGAACCCCTCTATATCAGGACGTATAAATAATTAACATTTTAAATATCTATAAGTATTAAACACGGATAAGATATGCAAATAATGATAGGAACCTCTCTATATCAGCACGTATAAATAATTAACATTTTAAATATCTATAAGAATTAAACACGGATAAGATATGCAAATAATGATAGGAAACCCTCTATATCAGGACGTATAAATAATTAATATTATAAATATCTTTATTAATTAACACGGATAAGATATACAAGTAATGATAAGGAACCCCTTCATATCAGGACGTATGAATAATTAGCATTATAAATATCTTTATTAATTAACACGGATAAGATATACAAGTAATGATAAGGAAAAAGAAACGGGAACAAATGTATGATTCGAAAAACATCGTTAAATGTATCAGTTCAATGTAACAGCAAATAAAACTTGATGGTCCCACTACAAACAGAACACAATACATATACGTACACACGTAGGCAAACACACATAGGGAGAAATTAGCCAGGTGGCATAGGACTAGTAGTAAGCACCTGTTAAGGCAGCTCCTGCGAATTCCTCAAATTGTATTGATTAATGTATATGCTAATTGTATTGATTTTATTAATTGTATATCTATGTACTGAAAAGCGCTTGAGAGTGGCTTATTCTAGCTAGATAGGGCGCTATATCAAATGTTGTATATTATTATTATTATTATTATTATTATTATTATTAAAATTTCCGCGTTCCTTCCCACTATTCATGTCGGCTAATGATTTCGGTCGTTGTAACTAAGAATGTACCAATCAGCTTATAATAAGACATTAATCATTTTCCATTTGCCCACTTTTTCAATAAACATAATTACAAATTATACATAATGTATTAACATTACAATTGTTAACATGGAAAA